GAGGAAACGAATTCAAACGTGACAATATTTCTTCACCTGATAATCGAGGAAATGACAAGTCATGCTCAACCATTTTTTTAATAAATTTGTCTCTCTGCCTCCTAAAAGGATGATTATGTTGCAAGAATTGTCGATGACAATAAAAAAAACAAGGTTTCCTACCATGATCCAATATGAAAGACTTGGAATGTTCCATGCAATAGGGACATGATAACCATCCATGAGTACTCCACCCTGACGACATACCGTACGCAAGAAAATCATTAATTGTCCATAATAATGCTGCCCTTAGATGAAAATTTTATTTCCTATATGCATCATATGTGACAACACCTTTAGTCTACAATACTGTCAACTCATCTATCAAGGGCCTCAAGAAAACATCTATGTTTTGACTTGGATTTTTATTCCCCGAGATGACCATATCAAGAAATATATATGATTGTTTCATACACATCCATGGGGGTAAATTGTATACACAGAGCATTACTGGCTAAATAGAATAAGGTTTCGTACTCGATCCAAAAAGATTGAAACCGTCTGCACATAACCTTAGTTTGACATTTCATGGTTCCATTGCAAATAACTGATGTGTGCAGTTGAAATGTTGCCAAGCCTCACCATCAAAAGGGTGTCTAAGGACTCCATCATCCTTTTGGTTTTGCGCATGCCACGTCATATGTTCAGCAGTTTTGCTTGACATATAAAGCCTTTGAAGCCTTGGTATAAGTGGCAAGTAACGTAAAATCTTGTAAGGTATTTTTTTCTGCCTTTTCAAACTTGATTTCCTTAATTTATATCAAGGATGCCCACATATCATACAATGCTCCAAATCAGCTGTTTCCTTATAAAATAAGATGCAATTTTTTTTTTACAAGCATCAATTTTGATATATCCAAGTCCAAGTTTTGCTACTTTTTTTTTCATTCTATAGAAGTTAGTAGGTAAAGTTTCATCTGATGGCAACATATTCTTTACTATCTCCAACAGCCCATCAAAATATTATTCACTCAATGTAAACTCTGACTTAACATTTAAAAGTGGTGACGCAGTTGAAAGCGTTGTGTGCTTTATGCAACCTGACTACAAAGGTTCCTCTGCATTACTTAACAAAGAGTAAAAGCTAACTGCATTTGGATTTGGATTTTCTTCTGCGAACCTTGACTCATTATCGTGACTATAATTGAAAGCAACATCCAGACCCATAGCATCCCTAACTATTCTAGTATATGGATTTTCTATTTTCTCATCGTATGTAGGTTCTCTATATTCCCCATGTTCTCCATTGCCAGCATATGGTTTAACTCTATCTCTACTTCTTGATGATTGTCCAACATCATGTTCCCCATGTAAACTCCAAATTGTGTAAGCACCAGTAAAACCCTTTTTAAGGATGTGCTCTGTCACCTTATTAGAATCTAAAAACTTATTGTTACTGCATCGAGAGTAAGGGCATCGAATCTTATTCTCCCACATCAATGTAGAGTTAAAACGTGCAAAACTAATGAATTCTTTAACTCCTTTTATAAATTCATCTCTCATGAATCCATCAGAAGTTAAGTGACGGCACATCCAAGATCGATCTCCCGACATTTTGTAATCCTAAATGTCACAGAATATAACAATCAAGAGTAATTTACATTCTTGTTTATAATAAAAATTGTTAACAACTACATTCCATTATGAGAAACTAAGTTGAACATTTTAAATATAGATTTAAAAAAAATAATAACATGTCAACGTAGTAAAAATGATTCCATACAAAAATAATTATCATGAAAATTTACTCAACTTAAAAGTTGAAATTATTGGATGACTTTTAATCATACTTTGAAAACTCTTTTAAGCAAACTGATATATCAGATTACGCAAATATAAAAAGTATTCAAACTTTGGACTACTTAATATCATTTCAAAAATCACCTATACAAAAGAACAAAATCAAATTTTTATAATAGGGACAAAATTCAAAAATAAATAAATTATTTCAACTCTTAAATTAGGGTACATATATGCAATTTTTTTTTCATTTAACAACTAATCGATACATTTAATAGCAATTGTTATAGGAACTAGAACATAATAAATTAAAAACTAGGATAGGAGTATATATTTGTAATTCTTTTACAATTATAAAATCCAAAAGAGCAACATGGCCAAAGCAACTACTGCATGCTCATATCTAAATGGCAGAGCAAAAATGTAAAACAATGTCCCAGAACAAAAAAATGAAATAACAGGAATGTTTTTCCAAAGCTCCTCGCATTAGATGTAATCAATACTATATGATCAACAAAATAATTCCAAGGAAGAGAACATATCTTATAATTAACTTTGCTTCGAGTGCCTAAAAGAATGAGTGCATAGAGGAGGGGAAGTTTTATGAGTTGAGCAGGCACGTTTTAACCAAATATGAAGTTGGGACAAGACCATTTTCTTCTACATAAGATAAGGTACTGAGGTTGTTTCAATCATCTCACCTGTTGAGGTTGCATGATTCTATCATTCACCTGTAAGTTCTAAGCTGCTGCCAGTTCATTGAGCATCCAATTGATAATGGAGCTCCAAAATCAACTTACGCAAAGCCCTTATTGATAGGATGGATGATGACCACTTTGGACTCTCTTACTGACAGTCATCTTAACAGTAGAAAGTTTGGAGTATGGGTAATTCATTTTCATGTGTGAGTGAACTAAAGCTTGCAATGCACTGTTGAAAGTTATGTATCAGATAGATTTTATCAGCTTCATTGCCTTGTCATGTTTACATTGCCTCAGGATTGATTCAACTCCAATCAAGGTTCTTTAATGAAAAGAAAAAAAGGAAAGCAGATGCTAGTATAATTTATGTTAACCTTTCAAGTTTCATGTGAAGGTTTAAGTCTCAGGATGTTTTCTTTTACCTTAGTTCTTCATCCAAATATGTAATCTCTAATTTAGCCCGAGCTCTTCCAGGAGCTTTGATAGGTATCTGCACATCAAGAAAATAAAAGGATTGTTGATAACTCTCGTAAACCTGCTGAACCTTCTAAACTTTTTAAGCAAACTCCCTTTAAAGATTCCACACACCAATGTATTGGCATAGAAACAGTCACAGAGTAGACAAAAGTTACAGGTATGGACAACTTCATCAAACATAAATCAAGAAAAAGAAGAAAATGACTTTGTTGAACTTACATCATCCAAGCAGAACTCACACTAGAGCCCACATTTGCAACCCTAACTTCACAAAGATTGCGTGGGTTGTGCCCTAAAACCTGAAATTTGTTGTGCCCCTTTTGGAAAATCTTACCTCACCTTGATAAATGAAAGGGAATTGAAGATCTTAGCAGAAAAACCAACACAACATCAAAAGAAATGGGTTTTGAGCAAGTGATGAGTGAGCCAGTAAATGGGTTTCAAATTTGCTCTCAGGAGAAGAATGGGAAGAATGGGAAAATTTAGGGAAAGGAAGCCGCACATGGTTAGGGATTCAATTTAATTAATATTTTAAATTTAATTAATAATGAATTTTTTTAATTCATTTACAGTAACACTACCCAACGTCGCGTCCTTGATTTCTTGGTGATGCGGCTCTGGGTTTTGGTAGTAGCACTGCAGCGCCACTTTTCCAACGCTGCAGCGCTGAGCTTTCGAAAAAATAATGCATTGGTTCCTTTCACTAGGGCTGAAGCCTTATTTTTAATATATTTGTTAACATTAAACAAAGGAAACTACTTGTCAAGATGGTAAAGGCCTTGGTTATTCTTTTTTCATCCTTGGGTTTGAATCACATCAGCCACAAAATCAATTTTTTTTAATTATTTAGATGGTATTTAATTGGGTTCAGGTAACGGGTATCCAAAAAGTGATACTCGTACCCTTCCCAAAACCGATTCGGGTAGTGGTTTCACTACCCGAACCCATTTATCGAGTACCCTAACTCGGTATAACCGGGTCGGGTAATTGCTGTTAACCCTATAATTGGGTACCCGTTGACATCCTTATCTAGTTGTAATTTAATAAATGAATAATTATTAATAAAAATAAAACTTTAACATATTTATATTAAACTAAAATCAATTCTTTTGTTATTTAATTATAATATATTGTTTATTAATTACTAACTAAATTTATTACTTTGTAAAATATTAATTACTTATTTATAATAAATATAAGTATATAATATGTAAATTTTAATAATATACGGTTATATGTATTACTTATATATATATATACGAAATTAATGACAAATTTATAAATAAACACATTAACATATAAGTTATTTTTGATTCAATAAAGTTTTCAAAAATGTAAAAAATAAGCAAAGGAAACAATTTTACTTTTTAAATATTATAAACTTCAATATGTATATATTTCTTTTTATTAATATCTATTTTTTAAAAAGATTAATAAAATTTGAAAATTTTTTTTATAAATTTGTTGGCGTCGCGGTGGGTTTTTGCTATAGTCCAAAGCTTTGGAAAATACCCAACGCCGCGACCTTCATTTCTTGGTGCCGCGACTCTAGGTTTTGGCAGTAACACTGCAGCGCCATTTTTCCAGTGCTGTAGTGCTGCAGCGTTGAGCTCTTGGGAAAATAATGCATTGGTTCTTTTCACTAGGGCTGAAGCCTTATTTTTAATATATTTATTAACATTAAATAAAGGAGATTGCTTGTCAAGATGGTAAAAGCCTTGGTTATTCTTTTTTCATCCTTGGGTTCGAATCACATCAGCCACAAAATTTGTTTTTTTTAAAAAAAATATTTAGATGGGTATTTAATCGGGTTCAGGTAACGGGTATCCAAAAAGTGATACCCGTACCCTTCCCGAAATCGATTCGGGTAGTGGTTTCACTACCCAAACCCATTTATCGTGTACCTTAACCCAGTATAATCGGGTCGACTAATTGAAGGTACCCTATAATTGGGTACCCGTTGACATCCTTATCTAGTTTGTAATTTAATAAATGAATAATTGTTAATAAAAATAAAACTTTAGTATATTTATATTAAACTAAAATCAATTCTTTTGTTATTTAATTATAATATATTGGTTTATTAATTACTAACTAAATTTTATACTTTGTAAATATTAATTACTTATTTATAATAAATATAAGTATATAATATGATTTTAATATATAGTTATAATGTATATACTTATATATATATATACGAAATTAATGACAAATTTTATAAATAAACAATTAAACATATAAGTTATTTTTGATTCAATAAAGTTTTAAAAAATGTCAAAAAAAAGCAAAGGAAAACATATTTACGTTTTTAAATATTATAAACTTCAGTATGTATATATTTCTTTTATTAATATCTATTTTTTATAAAGATTATAAAATTATAAAAAAATTTATAAATTTGTTGGCATCGCGGTGGGTTTTTGCTATAGTCTAAAATAGCGTATTTATTTCTTGGTGCCGCGACTCTAGGTTTTGGCAGTAGCACTGCAGCGCCACTTTTCCAGCGCTGCAGCGTTAAGTTCTCGGGAAAATAATGCATTGGTTCCTTTCACTAGGGCTGAAGCTTTATTTTTAATATATTTGTTAACATTAAACAAATAAAACTGCTTGTCAAGATGGTTAAAGCCTTAGTTATTTTCTTTTCATCCTTGGGTTCAAATCACATCAGCCACAAAATTTGTTTTTTTTAAAAATATGTAGATGGGTATTTAATCGGATTCAAGTAACGAGTATCCAAAAAGTGATACCTGTACCTTACCCGAAACTGATTCGGGTAGTGGTTTCACTACTCGAACCCATTTATTGAGTACCCTAACTCGGTATAACCAGATCGGGTAATGGCGAGTACCCTATAATTGGGTACCAGTTGATATCCCCATCTGGTTGTAATTTAATAAATGAATAATTAAAAAAATAAAACTTTAATATATTTATATTAAACTAAAATAAATTATTTTGTTATTTAATTATAATATATTGTTTATTAATTACTAACTAAATTTATTAGTTTATAAAATATTAATTACTTATTTATAATAAATATTAGTATATAATATGTAAATTTTAATAGTATATGTTTATATGTATTGCTTATATATATATATATATATATATATACAAAATTAATGACAAATTTATAAATAAACATATTAACATCTAAGTTATTTTTGATTCAATAAAGTTTTCAAAAATGTAAAAAAATAAGCAAAGGAAAACATATTTACGTTTTTAAATATTATAAACTTCAATATGTATATATTTCCTTTTATTAATATCTATTTTTTATAAAAGATTGATAAAATTTATAAAAAAAATTTAAAATATTCGAAGTAAAAAAATTTTAAAAATAATATTACCCACAGAATTTTCCAATGGAATGTTCTGTTAGAAAATTTTCGTTGGCAATACCCTTTTTCAATGAAAATTTTCGTTGAAAACTTTAGCAGGCTTTAAATTTTTTTTTTAGGTCCTTAATTTTTTCAATGGATTTCCAACGGATAATTTTCTGTTGGAAAATTCCAACGAATATCCGTTGGAAATTTCGTCGAAAAATTTGGAGGGAATAATTTTGGTGTGCTAACAAAATCTCCAATGGATTTCGAACGAAAATATTTCGTTGGTATATTTCCGTAGGAAATCTGTCGAAAACATTCACAAAAATTTCCACCGGAATTTTTTCCTTTGGAAAAAATCTGTTTTCTTGTTGTGTTTAGTTATCCAAGACTTGGGTAGGCTATGTAGAATTTTCTTGACTAGTTGAGTATTGAGAAAGTCTTTCCCTAAAACCTTCAAACCACTAACAATATTAATGAATCTCTTAAACATTTCATTGATGGACTCATAATCTTTCATTCTAAACAATTCATAATCACATGTGAGCAATCTAATTTTGGATTCCTTAATTTGGTTAGTTCCCTCGTATGTGTTCTCTAAGGTATCTCAAATTTCCTTAGCATTTTCACACATAGAGACTTTGTTAAACTCACTAACACTTAAAGCACAAAGAAGACCGTTATATGTTTTGTAATTGATTTAAATAATTTTTTTATCCTTATCACTCTATTCGTAACTAGTCTTAATCACTATTTTGTTATCTACTTTTTATATGGGACTTGTGGATCATCTAAAACAACATTCCAAATATCTAAGTCATGCATTGTAGAAACATTTTCTTACGCGTTTTTCAATAAAGGTAATTAGTACCTATAATGAGAGGTGGCCTTTGGATTAATTGCCTTTCACCAAGCATGATTGCCATAACCTCCATTTTTTAAGATTTGAGCTTCTACTATAAATCACTCAAAGTTGTTAAACCTGCAAAATTGAGCCTTAGCTTTAATACCAATTGTTAGTAGAATAAGCTCAAATTAATATATACCAAGATGGGGTGAATTGGTATTTAAGAAAAATCCTTTTAAAACAAGTGTAAAAATTAAATCTTTAAGCAACCAAAAATTCTTTTTGTGTCAAAACAAAATAAAGTTTTTTCTAAGGCAAATGCAAGCAATAAATCACAATGCCGAAAATTAAAATCAAGTCACAAAGATTTTATAATGGTTCGGCTTTCTCTAGTGTCTACATCCATTTTCTTGAAAACTAAGGAATTTCTAATCCATTCAAGGAAATGTGCTTTTTATGGGATTAAGCATTAAACCCTCACAATACTTTTTCACAGGAGTAAGCAGAACCCTTAACAATGTTTTCTAATGGGAGCAAGCGTAATCTTTCAATAATGGTTTTTAATGAGCTTAACCACAAATCTACAAAAGGTTTTTCAAGGTTAAGTTAGAACCTTTATAAGATGAGCATAAAGTATAGCAAGAGTGCCTTTACAAAGGCTGGATGCTAAGAAGTTTAAGCTTGGGTATAAAGAGAAGATAAATTTTCTTAGGGATTTTCAAGGGAATGATTTTTCAAAGCTCAAGAAAAGACTAAGATGAAGGCTAGAGAGGGAAAATAAGCTTTAGGATTTCTCTCTTGGGTTTTTCAAGTGAGTGCTAGTTTTTTCTTACTTCTAAATGACTCAAAGGCGGCATTTTATAACTATAGTGGATTTTGGAGTTGTTACACACAAGTTTGAATTAAATTTAACCATTACTGGAGTTGAAGGTCGACTATAACGCTCCTAGGGTTGACTATGTTCTTCAAATTTCTCAAATTAGGGTTCTACAACCAAGTATAACCTTCCTCTACTCAATCCAATTCTTGAGAACATGTTTTTTGCAAGTCTGGGTTAAGGTAGTTGACTATGGTGAAGCTAGGGCGGAGTATGTTTTTCATTTTCCCTCTTTTTCACTCATTAGGCTTGCCAAGGTCAACTATATAAGAGCCAAGGTTGACTATGTTTGTGTAATTTTTTAATTTTTTGAGCTTCTTGCTTTAGAGTCAACTATAGACATGCCAGGGGTAATTATGGCTTTGTAGTCTTCAAGTTTTCCACTCACTTTACCTTTGGATTGATTTGAGCTTCTCTAAGGTCGACTCTTGACTTGTGTCTTGAGAATTTCTTAACCTTTAGGCACTTTTCTTCAGCTATTTCTTATTTGCTTTATTCCTATAATCAAATAATAATTCAAGGCATGTATGCTTTTTGTTATTTACCTGAATATTCATTGTTTAAAAGTTTTAGTGATAGTTTCTAATGATGCACGCTTTTTCAAACAATTTTGTGACTTTAGGGGATAAAAAAATGATTGAGACAATTTTAAATGCTTGAAACTAAACTTAAGATATCGTACAATTTTTTGTTAAATTAAAACATGATATAACTCAAGGCTAACATGTTAAATTAAACATCAAAACGATAACACTCTTTTTTGGTCAAAAAATGCCTATATTCATTTTTCGTGTCTTCTCTACTAATCTCACCCATTAATAAGTTTTTCTTTCTTTTCAACGAAGCTTTTATCTGAACGACACCATCCTTGTTCAACAATCGCTACTAAAGGAAAAAGAAAACTTTTCTTGCCCAAAATTACCCATATTGGTTATCTCTTTCTATACACTATTTATTGTTTTCCTCACTTTAGTCCTCTCCTTTCTATGTACATACCACCTTTTCTCTTCCCTTCTTTTCACTATTGGAACTTTAATGTTAGTTTTTTTCTTTTATAAGTTCACTAAAGAATCTTTATCACTTTTAATTTTGTTGAGTTATGGTTTTTGGGTAGTGAGTTTATTAATAGTTTTTAAGGTTTTTTATTTAATTGAATTTGCTAGGTGTCTTTCCAAATTAGGTTGTTTTGGTGTTATTGACCATTCCATTTTGGTAAGTTTTATTTTTTGTGGTATTTTTGACTTTTGCTTACGAAAGTACTCATTTTTCCAAAAGTTTCCATTCACACCCTTGGAGAAATGTTTGCTTCTTTGCTAATTAATTTTAGCTTTCTTCTTTTGCTAGGCAAATGTTGTTGTATGTTAAGTTTTGAGTTTTGTTCTTTTATGCTAAGCATTTATTTGGACTGATATCAGTTCTTTTGGTATTTAGGTTACTGTTATATGGCTTCCTCCCTTTGGTTTATTATTCTTATGCATCTAAAAATGATCATTCATTATTTTTTTTTTGGGAGGATTTAAGACAATTGAATTCTTTTGGCTTTTATGGATGATTTGTTGTTTTATTGGATTCCATAAGATGTAGGAAACTGATGGCAAGTAAAAGAAATAGGCATCTTTGATTGTAGAAAGCAAAAAGGTTCATCGAAACGAGTTAAGATTTTCCCAAACACCACATCAATGGAGAATTCACCTATCACGTTAAGCTTTAAAGGTTTAATAAAGAATCATGAATTTATAAAAATTATAATTCAATGCTTATACTCGTTTGGATACAAAAGTCTACTTCTTATTTGGAATTAGAGTCCAGTATTCTATTCAATTTTGTAGATTTTGATTGGGATAGTTGTATTGATACCGTGAACAGAATTAAGGATTTGCATGATGATACACAATCCTCAATTTTTTTTCTTGTGTTTAAGTAGTGTTTTATGGAGTATTTGAATTATGGTGATGATTCACGAATTGGCTTTGTCAGTTTTTTAGAAATAGGTTCCCACATTACACATGAGCAAAGAGAAGATTCACGAATTGGCTTATAATATACTTTCATTGAAAGAGATGGAGTTGGGTAAGCTAAATGAGGATGTTATCAGTGAATTTCGAAAAAAAGTTAGTGATAGAACTAGAGAAATAGCTTCCTCCACCAATTATATTGCTCGAGAGATAGTTAGAATATTTAGTTGAAATTAGTATAACAACCCAAATTGATTCATGTATATATCACTATTCAGAGGATCTAGTCTCACTTTATGAGGATTATTGTTGTGACGGAGATCATATACCTACAAAAATAGTTCAGGTGTGCTTTGTTTTGTAGTTAATACTATTATTTTTACAAAATTTGAATTTTATTTCTTGTTTCAAGAAATTAAAAAAAAAAGAGGATACAAAGTGTTGAACACCATGTTTCAATTTGAGTTTTTAATATGGATTTTTTATTTTCTTATATGGTATTATTGAATGCTAGGTATTGGCTTGTTCATCATATTTAGCATGTTTATTTTTTATCAATTATCTATTTTACATATTTTGTAATGGTTCAACACCAAATTTATGATTAGGTGAAACAAATGTTGGGGTCAAAATCCTAAATTCTAAGATGAAGAGCTTTCAAATTATGTACTTTCAGCTTTTGGCATCCATGTTACTTTATCCTTTAACCATATTTGATGATCAAATGATTCATAGATTAACTTTGGCATATGATTTATTATTTGTTAAATATTTTAAAGTTATAAAACAACCTTGATTAATCTTATTACAAATCATGAGTTGGGGATGAAATTTAAATGTTATTTATTCATAACTTGCTTATGTTTTCTAAAATAATGTTTGTCAATATAAACCCACGTATAGAGACCATATTTGCTTGTGTTCAATGAAGCCAATGGCTTAGTGTGGTGGAAAAAGGTTTGTCTAGATTGTCTTTTATCATGTTGAACCACATAAGAAAATTTGAAGATTTTTTATGGTATAACAGAGTAATAGAGGGGGACCAAACAGAGCATAATTGTGCAATGTGAACCATATAGTTGGCTTGCATGGTGGAACTACTTAGTTTATCGAGTTATTGTTGTTGTTGATAAAATCTAGAGCAATCGAAATAACTTTGCACTCATAATGTTGCAAAACTAAGTTACACCTTAAAGGACCAAACTCTTTCTTTAATGTTCATTTCTCTTTTCAGTTCATGTATAATCTTATTTATAATTGCATTATAAGTACACCTTCCTGCAATTCATGTTTTTATACTTTGACTAACATGAAGGGACTCAACTAACATGTTTCTATGGTTCTAGAACTTGAAAATTATGGTTGGTGGTGATAGAGCTAGAAAACCACCAAGCCGTGCAATACCAAGAAAATTAGAAAATTGAATCAACCTTTAATAAAAGGATTAAAGAAAATACATGTTGTTCAATAGTTGTTTGATAATAATGAATTTAGTGTGGTGTTTTTCACTATAATATTTTCTAAGTTCTTATCCTAAAACCTAATACAGCTTATACACCATTCCCCTTTCAATTGCTTGATTAAGTCTTGTTATTATGAATGTTTTAGTTGTATTGTAGCCTTTTTTGTTTGCTATGACTGTAGATTTTGACTGGCCACAACAATGAAGTTGGTTTATACAATTTTCTAATAATGGGGAGTACTTAGCCTCTTCGTCAAGTGACTACACGGCTATCATATGGAAGGTATGATTCCTTTCACTTTGCATATGCATATGAAAAGGTATGTTTTTACACTATTTTCTATGTATGTGTGGATGCATTTATATCTCTACTTCTTTCTTTAAGATGTTTTGGAATCTTGTTTTTGTTGTAATATGTTGTATTGAGATATGATAAATTTGAATAACATGATCTAAGTTACATAGAGTAGATCAACTAAAGGTGTGTCTAACCTTTAATGCCTACCTTATCCTAGTCTTTTATGAGTGGGAGAAAAGTGCCCAAGGGGTGATGGTTAAGGTTGCTAATAAGGTCTAGTTTGTTCTTATTTCTAAAAGCTGAAACAAGCAAGAAATGACCATTTGTTTTTGTGTGAATGTCTGTATGGAGTTCATTTAGTAATATCACTTTCTTGAACTTGAATTACATTAAATGAAACTTATCAGTTTGATATTGTTGATGTTCTCTTTCTCATACCATGTTTTGTTTGGTCTAAATTTTTGAAAATTGAGTCAATTTGATTTGTTTTCATTTTTTACCTTTAAAAGCCAACTTCCTTTTTCAAAGAAATGTGATTCTATTACTTTAAATGGCTATTAATGTTGACAATGGGTGCCTGGATATGATGTTTTACACCACATATTAGTCCTAACTTAAGTTAAAGACGAGCTAAAAGTATAGTATGTTTTTTGGTCCTTTAGATAGGCTAAAAAGACTTTTTCTTTTGTTGTTCACTTAATTATCATCATAATGATCTTGTCATGGTTCTTATTTAATTCTTAATCTATGTACATGTTATATTAGATTGTACCTAGATTTATGGTCTTGTGAGATAATTTTTTTTGAAGACTTTGACATAAGTTGGTTTTTCTCTTGCTAAATTTCTTAGGTTATGGATAATGGTAAGTTGACAAAGAAACACATTCTTAGAAGCCATCAGAACTTTGTATCTTTTTTGGATTGGAGCTTTAACGACTAGGAGTGTGCGACGGTCGGTTGGGACCGCCCAACCGACCGCCACCGTCGGTTATTGTAACCGACGGTTGTTTTTTCAACCATCGGTTGTTTCGATCGACCTCGTCGGCTAATTGGGCAGGTCGTCGGGGGGGACTCCTTCCTCCCCGAACGACTGAAAAATCGACTTAATTATTAATTAAAAAAAAAACCCATCAGGCCCCGCCGGCCCACCTCGGACCTCACTAATTTCCCCTTCCGAGTCTCGACCTAATTCTCCCCCATCGCTGACCTAACTCCTTCCCCCCCTCTCGAGTCCCGACCTAATTCCCCTATCGCCGACCTAACTCCTTCCCCCCTCTTGGAATCCCGACCTGATTCCCCCAGCCCCCCCTCCCGTGAGTCCCGACCTGATTCCACCCTCTCCCCCCGCAGCCCTCCCCTCTGGCAAGTCCCAACCTGAAACCGACCGAAACCGACCCATGCACACCCCTATTAACGACAGAGAGTTGCTCACATGAGGAAACATGAAAGTTCTTAAGTTGTGGGATGTAGAAATAGGTACTTGCAAGCATACATTTGGGGATCATGGCTTCACTATCAGCTCATGTGCTTGGTTTCTTGACTCAAAGTGACTTGTTTGTGGTAGTTTTGACCTAGAAAAGGGTATTTGCATGTGGGATTGTGATAGGGATGAGATGAAAGCATGGAATGGCATGAGGATGCCCAAGGTTTTAGATCTTGTTGTTATGTCAGATGGGGAAAATCTTATCAGCATATTCTTCAACAAAGAAATTCGGATATTAAATTTATGGACAAATGTCGAGCAAGTAATCTTAGAGGAGCATTCAATCACATCTCTTTTAGTTTCCATAGACAGTAAGCTCTTTATTGTCAACCTACATAGCCAAGAAATTCATTTGAGGGATGTTGCTAGAAAGTGGGAAAAACCTTTAAAAGTATACAGGCCATAAGCCAAACAAGTATGCCATACGATCTTACTTTGGTGGGTTGAATAGTATGTTTATTGCCAGTGGCCGTGAGAATTCAGAAGTATATGCTTATATGGTAATATAAACATTGTAATTTATATATGCCTAGACACAAGTTTATTATTGTTAAGCTTTTCTCTAATCACTCACATTCATTAATCATTTTCGACATTCTTGGCAGTCAAACGATAACTAGTTAGGTCCATTACCATCTTCATTTCACATCTTCATCCAAAATTAAAATGCTGATACTTTTATGGGTTCAACATTTAGAATTTGTGAGAGGCTTAGTATTGGGATGTGCTATGTGTGGCGGCAACCACCCATTAGCACTTTCATGGATTAGTCTTGCTTTTTGAACATAGGTGGTCCATATCTCATTTTTGTATTAGAATAGTGGAAGAGGTCAAGGGCAAGAAATGAGTTCTTTTGTACATATACTTATTGATTTCCCTCTTATATATAGCCTGTTTTTTGAGATTGTCGAAAAAGTGTCATTTTGTAGTTTCTCTATCATGCATATGCACATGAATCTAGACAAGCTTGTTCATTGTTGCTTTTACAATTTTTAGTGAAGTGCATTAAATCTTACATCATGCAATCTTGGTAGGTATACATCTAGAATCGAAGAAGCTCTAAACCAATTAAGGTATTGTCTGATCATTCAATGATTATGAATAGTGTCAATTCAAAGGCCTCTAATATTGGCATCAACAAGTGATGATCATATAATCTGTATACGGGGATCAAGCCAAGCCAATAATAAGATTTAACCAAAGACTCTCACTTAAAAATGATAGAAAGCTTTGTTTGTAGCTTTTCTTTTGCATTTGTTATTCATTTATAAATTAGTAGAAAAAAAATTGTAACTTTAGTTTGCTTTATCTCAAATTTTTTATTTTTATAATTAAGAAAGGAGGAATTCGAATCATATTTTTTAAATAAGAGAACATCTCAAATTTTGCTAGACTATCATGTTGTAAATATTCAGCCCCACTTGTTTTGTTATTTAGCGTTTCCATGCATCTCTCTATTTCTGACATGTATTAACATAGTCAGTTACATAGGTCCATGCTGCTATATATATATATATATATATATCTTTTGTACCATGAAATGACATGGTAAAACTTTTTCAAACCTTTGATGGGCAATATTGATTTATTTGATAGGCAGATCAGCCACGCGCTTATGACGTTAACACTGAAGCGTGACGGGGTAAGAATCTGACCCTGAGCCGACCTCGTCTAGTTTTGAACCACTTGCACCGTTAACAAAAATGCTTGCCGGTAAAACGGTAAGATAAAAAAAAAAAGGCAGGAGTTAGCTATTAAAGAAATAACAAAAATTTTTACCACATTCTACCTCGTGTAGACTCCCTCTTTAGGTTTTGTCACCGTTTCAAACCCCCGAGATCAATCAACATTACCAAAAACCAGAGCCAAGCCAACGGAGGAAAAGAGGGATTTGGCACTTGGTTTCCCCATCGAGATCTCGAAAGAGAAAGAGAGCAAAGAAAATTCTCTCTCATCCAAAGATTCGAACACCTTAATTACTATGATTTTTCCAAAAATAAGTGGAAACGATTATGCCTAGATTGTTATGAATTTCGTTTGTTGAAAAATGACTGGACGTCCCTGGCCGCACGATCAAGTCTCCCTCCATTTTCAACCCGCTACTAATTTCCATCGCAGGTCAGAATTGAAACTTAATTTAGATTTTTCATTTGTTTCGGCTTTAGTGTTGGATTTGAATTCCCAAGAAGCGAAATGGTTGATTTAGTGAATCGCTTTCAAGATTTAGATGTTTAAGTTTAGAATTTTTAGCTTTTGGTTTAAGCTGAATTTTACTAATTCCGTAGCTTGAACTGATCTAAATTATGCGTCACTTATTTTGTAGATTTGTGGATTATTCATTAACTCATTCTTTCTATATAATAGTAATAGTTTTTTAATTTGTTCAATTAATGTGAAATTTAATTACAAAGTGAGGTGATTGTAGTTGAAATGTATGTTTTCTTATCAATTTACTTTCTTTTTTGACGCTGGATTGAATTTTCATATGTTTTTAAATAAGGTGCTCAGCTGATAGGTGTAAGCTTGGATTTAAGGTGATAATTTAGTGTCACTGAAATTGGAGTTCAAAGTTAGTGTCATTTTCGGAAATTCTTTTATTTATCTACATTTTTTATTTGTCACGTTTCATCTCTTTTCATTTCACTTGGATTTGTTAACTTGCAATTCTTAGTTTTGAGTTTTGTGTTCATGGAACTATGGTTTGTTGAGAATCTAAGACTTGTTTCTTTGAACCTCATGACTGCAACCTTGAAGCTTATTAGTTTCTAGGTTTTTGTATCTTGCTTTCAATTTAGTATTGTTTTATTTATTTATTTTTTCCTTTTCAGTGGTAAAAATGTCTTACATTTGTTAGGGAAGAGAGAAGTCTCTCCCAGAACAAAGTATGCGCCAGAAAGGCGATGGGGAGAAGCACCTAAACAGAATGCCGATTCTTCATCTGGGCCTAAGATTGAGCCCATTGGGGATGCCAGACGTGGCCTCATTTCCTGGTTCTTGCACTTTTCAATTGTGTTTGTCTATTTTTATTTTTCACATCTTGTAAGCCGGTGGCATGTCCCTTTTAAAAATCAGTTTCTGTTTTTTTATTTTATCTAGACGAGTCATCAAAAATCATATTGTTACTATTTTTTTCTTTACAGGGCTGAGGAAGAGTCTTTGCGGCATTTATCAGGCAAGTATTGTCCTCTAGTGCCTCCTCCAAGGTCAACAATTGCTGCAGCATTTAGTCCTGATGGAAGAACACTTGCTTCAACCCAGTAAGTTGTACTTGTGTGAATGTTCTTGTTTTCTTCAGCATTCATGACTTGCCTTGTTTAGATGTTTACTTGGTTTTTTTCATTGTAGTGGTGATCACACTGTGAAGATTATTGATTGTGAAATGGGAAAATGCTTAAAGGTGTTGAGCGGTCATCGGAGGACACCTTGGGTGGTAAGTACTTTTGACTTATTCTGCAAGTCTGTACTTGGTTATTCCTTATTGACTTTTTTGTTCCTTATTTGAATAGTAACTTTATTGGTATATAAAATTTTCAGTCTGTTAAAATAATCCTTATTGAAAATTGATATACCTAGAGGACAATTGTTAAAAGGCTCAATCCTGTTGTTTTGTATATGCAAGGAGAGTACTTTAAGTGCAATGTCCTGTGTAAATTTGGTTGATATGTTCCCAACTTTCGATTCCCTTGCATCCTTAATAGTTTGGGAGCTTTCATCATGGGAAAGTGGTGGCTGATAATCAAAGGTCTCTGGAGGCCTTGATTCCTGGTGCCATCTGGTGTGCTGCAGGGCCTTAGGTTTAACTTTTACATTGTCTGCGAAAACCATGTTGCTGGACTTAGAGCAGGGAGGTTAGATGTGGGCTGAGGTCTTCTTAATCTTGCTCATGGTATATGTATATAGGCAAATTTAAAGCAATCAGATTATGTGAGTTATTGAATGTAAATAAAAACAAAAGGATTATATATAAATATATATACGTATATATATGTATATATACATACGTGCGCGTGTGTGTGTATTCCTTGTATAAATCCTAATGGAGCTTTTACAGGTTAGATTCAACCCAGTACATCCGGAAATTCTTGCAAGTGGGAGCTTGGATCATCAAGTTCGTTTATGGGATGCAAAGACAGCGGAGTGTATAGGATCTCGTGATTTCTGTACTTCCCACCCCAACTCTTTTGGTGATTTTGAAGTGTTGTTCTTATACTTATTATTTGCGTTTGTGTTATTGCTCCCTTTATTCACTCTTGCAGATCGTCCAATTGCTTCCATTGCTTTTCATGCAGAAGGAGAACTTCTTGCTGTTGCATGTGGTCACAAGGTGTTGAATATTACCCAGGAACTTGTCATATAATGTTCTTATGCTTGGAATTTCTTATCTCTTCCTGCATTATATCCTTAAGCTTGGGAAGATGATTTTGTGGATCTCATAGCATTGATGTTTTGAATCATGTTCCAGTTGTACATATGGCACTACAACCAGAAAGGAGAGGCTTCCTCACCAGCCATTGTATTGAAGACAAGACGATCTCTCCGAGCTGTGCACTTTCACCCGCATGCTGCTCCTTTTCTCTTGACTGCTGAGGTGAATTGTCTATTGGGTTTTTTTTTTTATATTATTGATTATTTATTTCTTCTATCATATGGATTACATTATTGGACTGATATGCAGGTAAATGATCTTGACTCTTCAGATTCTTCAATGTCACTGGCGACATCACCAGGTTACTTGCATTATCCTCCTCCTGCAGTTCTTGTGACAAGTAGTCAGGCTAGTGATCATGTTGGTTTGGCAGCTGAGCCTTCTTTTACGTCATTGCCTTGCATGATTGTGCCTTCATTTACCATTGATGATTCGATAATGGATTTGCAATATGTTAGTAGGCTTGTTGGTACAACTGGCATGCTAGTTGGGTCTTCTTCTTCAATGCAATTTCAAACAGATGCAACTATGGGAGAACAGCATCATAGTACAGTATCTCCCACGGAGACATTTTCTGCAATTCCTTCGGGCTTGTGTCATGGTACAGAAGACCCTGTAAATAATTCTGTTCCTTTTAGGATGGAAAGTGGTTCTGCTGACCCCTCAATGGATGCTATGGATACTGATGAAGTGCAGCCTGTAAGGGAAAGCAGGGAAACAAACTCTACTAACCTCGATCGTTATAGTAGTGCAGGGGGGGGAGTATCTAGGAATGTTTCTAACCGACCTGATGTCAGGGAATTTGGGCAACTTCAGCAGTTTTTACCCTTTGGAGCAATTTGTTGGGAGTTGCCTTTTTTGCAAGGGTGGTTAATGGGTCAACAAACTGGTGGTCCCTCTATGCATCGTCATAGTGAAAATTTAACACAATACATGGGTTCTTCCTCAACGTTGCAATCATCAACTGGAAGCACGGAGGCTGCAGCAGCTTCATTTGGAATACCCAACAGCATTAACCAATCTGGGGTTTCTAGAAGAACTAGATTGCAACATGTTTCACGATCTCGCTTCTCAGTTTCTGAATCTGGTGAAGTTGCTGTGCCTAGTAACCCTGTGCATGATGGCGCTGATACTCAACAGATTATAAGTAGAATCCAATCTGAACTTGCCACATCACTGGCTGTAGCTGCAGCTGCAGAGTTGCCTTGCACGGTGAAGCTTAGGGTGTGGTCACATGATGTAAAAAATCCCTGTGCAGTACTAAATGCTGACAAGTGCCGCTTAACTATACCACATGCTGTCCTTTGTAGGTAAATGTCATGATATTTGTTCTAATGGTTTGATGGTCATAAATTTGTCAGCATTACTCAAAACTCCATGTCTTTCAGAGATTTTTTGTTGTGCATGGTTGTACTAGTTGCATAATATAGGTGCTATCTATACGCTCTCTCAGACCATCTCTCTAAACATGAAATATTGATGTTAATTTTGTTCCAACACAAAATCTTGCCTTTGTTAAATACTTGGTGGTACTCTAATAACTGTATTTTGTTAGCATGTCATCATGTTTACATTATGGCATTTCTTGGCTGCATTATGTGTTCGCAGTGAAATGGGTGCCCATTTTTCACCTTGTGGGAAATTTTTAGCTGCTTGTGTTGCTTGTGTGCTTCCTCATATGGAAGCTGATCCTGGATTACAGGCAATGGTCCATCGAGATGCTGGGGCTGCAACATCCCCAACTCGACACCCAATCTCAGCACACCAAGTCGTGTATGAGCTTCGGATATATTCTCTTGAGAAGGCAACGTAAAGTTCATTCTCTTTTATCTGCTCTGGCACACAATTTTTTTTTAGTTATAATTGGTGGGTGGTTATCTTATTAATACGATGTTCATTCAAACAATACAGCTTTGGGTTGGTGCTTATTTCACGAGCAATTAGAGCTGCTCATTGTTTGACATCAATCCAGGTCTGTTGATTTTGATTGAAATTCTGTGAACTTGCATTCTAGTTCATTATCTGTTCTAGTGGCATTTTCTGCTACGCAAGTGAGCACTACTGAATGCTTAGCTGAAAAAAGGTCATTACAATGGAACATCTGCTTTGCTTCCCCAACCCAACTCCAACCAACAAATAGAACTCCTCATGGATACAAAATGTTTTTTCCTTGTTATTTTGGTATTGATGCTCTTTTTGCCAGTTTATGTTTAGTTCTGGAACTTTTTTCTCTTCCCTTTACTGTTACTTTCCCTTTGAACATCCAACACTATTGCATTTATTTATTAAAAGGCATGATTTACTTTATTTTTTACCAAGAGAATACTTTTTGGACTTGTGGGGGAGTGGGGTGGTGGGGGATGCTTAAGCTGATCCTGTCATGGCACCATATCACAAGGTCAGTTTTGACCCGACAAAAATGTCATTACCAACATGATTTGCTGTTGGAGTTTGGCCTTTTGTTTGCACCCTCCTTTAGTGGCTAAATTTCTTCTATGTTTTTGTACAAATGCCTAGAATTTAGGGAAGCATATTGGTCTAGAATAATAGAAAAATGTATTACTATGGTTCTAATTTACGCATCTAATGCTATGCTTGTAGTTCTCACCCACTTCCGAACACATATTACTTGCCTATGGTCGACGTCATGGTTCGCTTCTTAAAAGCATTGTCATTGATGGGAAAACAACATCTCCTATATACACAGTACTAGAGGTAGAAGTTCAAATTAAATTATTTTATATTTTTTCTTGTTATATTATTGCAAGTTGTGAATGTGTCTGTCTTCCTGTGCCAATAACTTTCTGCCTTTCCACACTTCTCTCTTTTAATTTGAAATTTACTTATTGATAAATCTGTTGGAACTTGTGCTAAGAAATGAGAAAACATGGAAAGTTTAGTTGTAAATGGTTTCTTATGTTTCAAGCAACGTCAGGATTTCTAATATTGGCTTTGTTCAAATTTCCATTTATTTGGATTATTCAGATGTTTGTTGACTAAAGCAGTAGACTCATAAATTTTTTAAGGTTTATAATTCTTAATCAATTTTGTATCCTCTTTTTTTATGACCCTAATGTTGAGTGGAGCTGACATTTATCATTTATTTTCTGGAGAAGGAATCTCAAAACCAAATTTCAATTGCAAAAAAATGGGTTGTTCTTATGGCTGATATTTTAGGGTTTGCTTCATGCTTTCCAGAAATATTTTCCGCAATTTTAAGTGTTTGGAAGTGGGAAATCTTTGTTTCGAGGTAAAATATTTGTGGTTCAACAGAAATAACATATGTTGACCCAGGTACAGGGCGTAAGACATTTTCCATCCTCACATAAAACCCTCCTCGACCCTCTCCTCCCTCTATCCACTTCACGCTCTTTCACCTCCCCTCCCTTCCCCACTCAATCCTTGAATCCATCTCTGACGACCACCCGAACCTTGAATCTCCCTCCATCATCTTCAATCCTCCTCCACCTCTCTCTTCACCGTCTTTCTTATCCTTCAATCCCCCTCTCCTTTATGAAGACAAATCCCTTTATGCATTTGGCAACTCTCCCTCTCCCTCTACTACTTGCCTGTATGGGATTGCTCCATACAGGCAAGTAGTAGAGGGAGAGGGAGAGTTGCCAAATCCATAAAGAGATTTGTCACTGAACTGGAAAACACCATTAATGACTAGCTTATGTCTTTTTCTCATGGATCTGTAAGGGATTAATTAATTGTGGGATTTGATCCATAGATGGTCATTTGTTTTAGAGGTCTTGAAAGAGGGATTTGTTTGAGATGGGCTTGAAGTTTTTTTTGCTACAAGGCTGCATAATTTTTGAGAGGCAAACACCTAATTAATTTGATAGAAATTTTTAGGGTTTGAAGTTTAGTAATTCTTGGTCGTTTGATGGGGTTAGAAATGGAGCAAGGTGGAACTCTAAATTTGATAGAAAATTGAGAAGATTTTTGGTTGTATACCAAACATTAGAAAATGTTTTCTCGAAAACCATCCAAACATGAGAAAATTTATTTTTTCAGGAAGATTATTTTCCATTGAAAACGTTTTCCTTCATGAAGCTATTTTTTTGTTATCAAACGAAGCTTTAAATTATGATTTTGTATGTATGACATGATAATTCTTAGTCTCGTTTAGTATTAACTTCAACTGTTAAGAAGTGGAACCATGTCGGAAATCTACAGTTGTGATTTCAACTACCCATGGATATGGGTCCCATGTGGCCTACTTTATGGTTGGTCAACTGCCATTTATTTTACACAATTAATCTTAGGGAATATGCTCTGAATAGACTACCAACTTCCAGTACACAATTCTTATATGACGATTATTTAGGTGAAGTCTAGACTTGTTTTCTCAACTTTACTTCCAAGTTTTGTGAAATAGAGACACGGTTTGGCTTGATCTAAATTTAAATAAATATTGATTTATTTGCTGTGCGTTAACTTTAAGTTGGATTAAGTTTTCAGTTGGTGTAAATCAATGTGCATAATTGATGAAATACCTGGACCGAGTCAACTGCGAACCAGGACTTATCTGGTCCGATAAGGTCATTTGAACCGGGTGTATATCAGACCGGTCAAAAACTGGCCAACCGTTTGGTTGGACCAGGTTAGATCAGACTGGCTTTGAAACCAGTGTTAAGTGTTTATTTTATTATTTAATCTTTCAAAATTTCTTTGCAAGTGGTGAGATTTGGACCTATGACCTTTTATCTCTCCATTAATGACCATACCATAGATGTTAAATATTTAATATCAAAATCATATTTCTAACTACAACACAACTCTTTTGTTGAAAGTTGGACAGAGAATGGGATCCTCATTTGTTCAACCTCCAGTCCGGTTTTTAAAATATTGATGTGCATGTTATTATGCATGGTAAAACAGTTTTGCTGGATTTGATGCTATTTGATATGATAGAAAGGGGAGGAGGATTGCAGTTGTTGCTTTTTAGTTTAATTATGTGTTTTTATCTCAAGGTTCCGATTTATACTTCCAACTAGAATGCTTCTTGAAACTGTACTTTTCTTACTTGAAGTTACCTGTTAGATGTCTGGATAATAATCTGTTTTTTGTCAGTTAGGTTTATAGAGTTTCTGATATGGAACTCGTGAGAGTACTTCCTAGTGCAGAGGATGAGGTAAATGTTGCGTGCTTTCATCCTTTCGCTGGAGGGGGTCTTGTCTATGGAACCAAGGTCAGCACCTCATTTACCTTAGAGTTGGTGCTCTTATTTGCCTATATTCTCAAGCTACAAACCTAAAAGGATCTTTAACATGGGAGCAATGATTGCTGCTAAATGCAGGAAGGGAGACTAAGAGTTCTTCAGTACGATGGTGCTCATGGTACCAATTCCAGCACACCAAATTATTTCCCTGAAGAAAACATGGCTGAGGTAGAATAGCAAAACAAGGTTGTGTATGGTCTTCCTTTTTATGATATTCTGAATCCGATAGACCATTATTTTACTAAATAGCCACTGATATATGCCCTGTAACAGTAGATGCTTAAGCATAGTTTACTGTTTTCTTATCTACATGCCTCACATTCTTGTGCTCCTTTTTCCTCTTGCATTGGTTTTATATTATAAAGTGAAAAACTGCTCTAAGCTTAAGGAAGCTGATGGGGCTGGCAGCACTAAGTGCCCAAGTCCAACTTGGCAAGGTTTTAATTTGGTCAATAACTCATATGTTTCATGTCATTATTGTTATACGCCGTGGGCTGGTCAACTTTTGATTAATATATGCAGACATGCCAGATGGTTGGTTTCATAAAGTTTAAAATGGGAAAATGGGCAATTATAAACTCAATAAAGCTTGCTGAAAACAATTCTCTCTACATTGAAATTGCCAATCCAAGGTTATTGCTATAACATGGGTTTGGTGCAACATTTGTGATGACTAAGAGAGGGAGGGACATGATATTTGCATTTGATACTAAGTAGTCAAGATATGTCTAGTAAGTTATTCCTCTTTGTGATTGCAGGTGTAGACATTTGCTTTAGGATGCTGCAAATAGTGATCTCCCTTCATACATGATCTGTACAGACAAGCCGAAAGATGGATTTGCGATTGGGTTGGGGCAGTAGGGGGCAGCTACTAAAACAACTTTTTGGTATGTTGTGTAACTACTAATTAAAAGAAAAGTTTTAACTTTGCTCCAACTGAAATTCATCTAATAACCTTAATTTTGATTAGTGTTTATATTGCATAATTAGTAAACTTTTCTTTAATTTTTTATTTTTTACTAAAATTTTACATTTCATAAGCCTCACTTTTCATCTTATCCATTTTTCAAGATTCGAATATGAAATTTTTTTCCAAATTTACATTTTCATATCTAACTGTTTCGTATATGGGAAACTTTGGATACAATTATTATTTAGCACAAGATATTGCTGTAATAACTTCAGGCTTAGTTTGACATTCTTGTCCATTTGTAAAATCATAATAAGGTTTTAAAATTTTAATTGGAAAAAATTGTTAGGTTAAAAAAATGCCTGATTGGGTTTATATATTTACTTTTCTAATTTTTTATTTTCAAACCTAGTATCAGATGTGCTTTAACAAGGTGTAATAAGTAGGGTATTTAGAATTTACTGGCTGTTATATTTCATGATCGGTAGCCATCGATGTATCTTATAAAAAAAATAGGCATAGCTTTATATTCTAGAAAATTGTGTACAATAACCACGGTCAAGCTAAAACTAAAAATAAGGTTAATTTTGAAAAAGAATTTGCCCAAATGAATTGCGTGTAACATATACAAGAACATCACGGTTATCGAAGCAGCACAATAACAGAATACCAACATTTTGAGTGTGTAACCAAGCTAAAAGGTCGCCTAAAGGGGGTCAACGTGTGACTAATGGCTACTGGGTATGTAGGTAACGACTAGGAGATTCAAATGTGTAGAAAGGGCTCTCACGCGGTCAAGTGACCACTCTGTCCCTTTGTGCTAGGTGTGCCCTGCTAACCGGCACTGTCGGCTGACTGGTGCGTAGATTAGGTGTGTTGGTCTGGCTCGACCCAAGTAGTGGACTTAATTATTTTATATATGATATGATCATATAACATAATAAGCTATAGATTTAAAAGAGTTTGGATTTAAGTTAATTGTTTTTCGTGTATTAATTATATCTACTGGTAGTTTTTTGTCTACAATAAATGTAAAATTTTTATTTTTAATTCAATAACAAATTATCATTAATATAAAAGTCAATGATCTATACACACCTTAAAAATAGTTCAAGTACCTCAACTCCAAAAAGTGAATAAACTTTATTCAAGTGTCTCACCTCCAAAGAATTCACGCTTCTTTCTTTTCTAAGGTTATTTTGTTTTTTTGAAAAACTATTGCTAATTAATTCAAATGACCAACTAAGTAACAATTCTTGTTTTTATAGATATACTAATGGATTCGGATCTATTAGACCTAATCATAGTCTAACAAGACATATAAAACTTAAAAGAAAAATACATGTGGGATCTTTAAGATCCCTCTAGAACTGTGAGCCCACGTCTATGTCCTCTCATGACTCATATTTTCTTTGGAATTTTATTTATTCTAATAAAATTATTTAGTTTATTAAATTAATTACGAAACCTTATTTACCCCGTAATTACAATAATGTCCATCAACATATTGCAATTGACCTTGGTAGAGAAAAAACTATCAATGAGGTCTCTTTTGTTATAATCTTTACTAATCTGTTTTTTCACCATACTATATTTCTCATGGGCTTTATGGATAAATAATTTTCACTATGTTAGATTTAATGCTTAAAATTGATTTAAAGTTTTGAAATGACAAACAGGGGATAAAATTTGTTTTTCAGATGTTCAAACAAGTCAAAAAGTCTTTGAAAATGGTAAATAAAAGACCTAAGTGTTTTAGATTGGAAACAAGTAAAATAGCTCTTTATACAAGGATTTTAATTTGTATCTATCGATAGATGTTTTGCATCTGTCAATAGATAAGGTCATTTATCGATAGATGAAGAACATCTATTGGTCTTGGCATCTGGGTTTCAAAGACTAAGAACATCTATCGATAGATGAGCGTGAAATTCAAAATTCTTAGAGGCAATCTATCGATAGATCAAGATATCTATGATAGTTAATGATTGGTTGGATACTAGAATGAAGAGAAAAAAAAGACTATTTTCTCATTAAATGATCCTCCAATTACCTCAGAAGCTTCAACAACTATAAATACAAGCTTTCACCACATTTATAAAGGTTGCAAGACTTTGAAACACAACACCAAAAAAAGAATTCAACTCAAATAATTTAATGCTTTTTGGACACCTCTTCTAGCATTTAAGTATTTTATTGTACCATTTATTGAGCCTTCATCACTTATTCTTTTGTTCACCAAACATTGTACTTAACCTGTTACTCAGCCTTTAAAAAGCATTTTAGTTGCATTTAAATTTCTTTGATTGTATTCACTTGAGTGGTTATACTTTAACCAATTGAAAATGTAGTATTTAAGTGGTTATACCTTAACCAAGATAAAAAGTAGAGTAGTTATGCTTTAACTATAAAAAGGCATTGTATTGAAAGATTGTGCTGATTCACAAAATGCATTGTATTGAATCTTTTTCAATAGTGAATTTTAAACTTCTTAGTAAATCTAAGAAAGAGGATGGAAGCAAGGAGACCGAACCTCTATAAAAACCATTGTGTTGATTTTTCTCTCTCACTCCTTAATTTCAATTGTGTTTTTAACCTCTCTAACTTGATAAGAAATGAATTCTCTTATTTACTCTCAAAAAAGGGATTTGACTTTAAGAAACTTTATTTTCTTGAAATTGAAAAGAAATTTTTTAAATTTAAAATATTTCAATTTACCTCCTTTTGAACATATCCATAATTCCTGTTGGACTTTGAAAGATATTTTTCTTCAAAACACTAATATATAATATTAATATGAATAATATAATTATGATACACCTTTTATAAAGCACACTTTGTGGATTTCTTAAGTCTAACAATCTTATGAAAATCGTTTGAATATCTTTCTCAATAGAGAATAGTGAATCCTTTATTGAGCATTTAATATAATTTATTTAGCATGGACATAATCTAACGTATCGGGATATAGCCTTTAAATTCAGCATCACCTATTGGTAACATCAAAGTCATATAGATACTAAATGAATTATATTAACCTTTCAAGTTTAAGGATAATTAATAAATTGTAATAAAGCTCTTTTTAATTATTAACAGTGATAGACTTATATGGAACTCTGTAATTGGATCCTGTTCAATGTATGTATCTCATACACTATACCCACTTGTTTGCTTTAAGCCCTTTACCACCCCAATGATAGAGTTAAAATACTTTATCCTTTTTGATAGAGCATAACAAGTGTAGGTTTTAAACATTTTGTCACATTTAGCTTAGAACAATTTTGACAAATAAGGAAATAAAAATCCATAACTCCCTACTTAATAGTTTATCAACTATTAACATAGTTTTTCTACAATGTTACGAAATAATTTATGATCACGTCATATATGTCATAAATATATAAAATGTCCATTAAAATATAATATATATGAAATCAATAATTGATGTAACAATTTATTTATCTAATAAATAAATAATAAAATTGGTTTCTAAGGGCATATGTCTAACAATCTCTCACTTGCACTAAAAACTAATTATACATATATTTTACATCAAACACTAAACATTATTGCTTAATTTGATTAAGATATTTCAATATATGTTTCACTGTTGTCAATATTTAAGACATGAATTTGATTGGTATCCACTCACAATGCTTATTACGTAACATTTATTGGACCTAGTACATAGCATAGTGTACATAAAACTTCCAATGTTGATGCATAACGACAGCTTTTCATCTTTTCTCTTTCTTCTTTGGATTTAGGAGGCATTCTTTTAGAGAGATGAATTCCATGCTTAAAGGCTAAAAACCCTTTCTTGGAATTATGTATGCTAAACTTGGTCAATATCTTGTTAATGTAATTTTCTTGGGACAATCCCAACAATCATTTTCTTTAGTCTCTAAACAATTTGATCCCCGAGTATATAAGACGTTTCACCAAGGTCTTTCATAGAAAGTGTGTAGATAACCAAATCTTTGTTGATGGAATTGCACCTACTCCCTTACCAATGAGTAGTATATCGTCAACATAGAGAACTAAAAATGTGATTGTACACCCACTAACTTTCTTGTACACACATGGTTCACCCAAAATTTATGAAAAGCCAAATGATTTGATTCCCTCATCAAAATGGATATTCCAACTTCGAGATGCTTGTTTTAAGCCATAAATTGATTTTTTTCAATTTGCACACTTTTGTTTCTCGACCTTTGGATTTAAAACCTTTAATGTCATGACCTAAACTCAAGGGCCATGACTGGTACACGAGCCCAACAAGCAAGCCAACTAGACCCGAGAAAGCCACAGAGTTCAAAATCATATAGCATAAATGCCAAGGGATTTATAATCAAATATTCATAATAAATTCAAATAAATTACATTATTTCTGGCTTATAGTCCGCACAAATGTTCACAAAGCCATACATTGGCCAATTGAATCAAGTTCATACCTATCAATCCTTATACAAATTCAAATGGCACATCATGCCTACATACATCAAAGACAGTCATATGCGGAAACTCGTGACTAACTCAGCGGAGTGACCAAAATAGGGGACCTACCAAATGCCAAAATCGATCTGTTCATTGACAACCCTTGCCATGCACCTCCATGGTCTATTTATCCACACATGATACCCAAATGGGTGAGTACTATTATACTCAGTGAGTGGTGTAGATACTCAAAATCATACATACTCATATATAAAATATATACAACATTCGTGCACCTAGGTGTTCTATCAAACATGTCTAAGCATAGGGCATATCATTGTCCCTAAAGTCTCCCATGTGAGGGCATATCAACATCCTCAATGTCTCCAAAGTTCATCACACATATCATTAGGTTTACCCCTGAAGCAGATCAAAGTTATTCAAATCATTCTCCATGGCACACTATAGTTATCGGAGTATCACATCATATTCATATCATATTTATCTAAGCTTCTCTATGGCTATTTCACATCATATGCAGATTAAATCAGCGAATGGTCCTCCTTTGGACATAGTTAGATCATGCTCGGTGGCCAACCGATGGAGAATCAGATCATACTCAAGGTCAAGCCGTTGGCAAAGAAATAGATCACACTCG